GATTTGAGACGACACTTCGACTGCATTGCCTGCCAAAGTCGCTCATCCTAGTCTTCATCAATATCAGCAAAGTCTAACATTTAATAGAAGCTGCAATCGTATGAAGATCTATGGCCTACCCAGACAACAATAAACAAAGAGTAAAAGAGATTTATTTTCTCTAATTTAGATTTATAAAAAAAGAAAAATAGAGAGGAGGGCAACTGGGAATCTTACAAGAGCAACTCATTTGGTTTAGGTGGCAATTGATGATGTGGCTGGCGGTGAGGTGAGGAGGGGAGGTTGGTTTGGTTGTCATGGGGTTGGGTGGGTAGTCTGAGGGTTGTTTGCTGGGCTCTTTTATTTATTTATTCTAATTGTCTGTTTTTGTTTTTACTTTTATTTTCTTGAATTAACAGTGTTAACTTAGAGTTGAGTCCTTAAAAGTCATTTTACAATAGGTTAAATTTGCCTTTAAAATTTTGAAGATAAGGTGTGTGGGAAAATAGGACAAGAGGGTGGGAATAGCAGCACTCTAAATTCAGGAACCAAGACTTAATACACCCACCATAGAACACTTCAACTTATAAATTGGGGTAGTGTTGTTGTAATCCGAAAAATATAATAAATTAGATTTTAAGTTAGATTAGGTAATTTGCTTAGTTGAATCCTAGTCATTGGATTTTATTTGGAAAAATGGATATTTTAAATAGAAAAATAAAGAGAAGGACTGTAGGTGGTTAAAAATGAAATTTATGGGTCCAATCTTAATTTACTAAATAAAATAACGCTTTATTTCTTGTTGGGATATAAAATAACACTTTCAAACAAAATTATCTTCACCATGCCTACACAATCCAAACGTATAATTATTTTCAGTCCCAGATATTTTAATATGAATTAGCACAGGCTTGTCGCCATGACTTCGTCTCATATAAATTATGAGATAAACTTCCACCTTCAAACTTTGAAACCAAAAAGTTGGTCTAAAATTTTTAATAAGAGGATTGAATTGTTTATCTGTTGATATCTTCATATGGGGTAGTTTGTTGCTCCTGTTTATCTGATATTGCATATTAGATTTGTGATTTCTTACTGGGTTACTTGTATTGCTGTATTTGTACCATCCTCTTCGATGTGTTTTTCGTAATGAAATTTCATCATTCAAAAAAAAAAAAAAAAAAAAAAA